CGGCCGGTATCCTCGCTCCGCATGTCCTTGTACTTTGTCGCGCCCTTCTTGCCCAGCTTCGTCATGTCCCGCAGCTGCAGGTACTCGGGCAGGGCCTCGCGGTTGCGCACGTCGTCCTGTATGCGGCCGCCCATAATATCTCGCTGGAGCAAGCCCGCGGCGGCCGTCTCCTCCTGGAAGAAGGCGCCCTTGTGGTAGTATTTCTGCTTGTACGCCATTTTCCCCTTGCTATCCTTTTCCTCCTGCTGTTTCGCGATGTAGGCTTCGTCCTCGGCGGCGCGCTCTTCCTCGGTGAGATTGCGGCGGCGCTCTACCTCCGCGAGCTCCTTCTCGCGCTCCTCAATGGCTTGGCGGGCGCGTTTGAGGCGCTTCAGCTCGCGGACTCTCCAGGCAGCTTCTTCCGCCGCGGGGTCCAGCCCGTCTGTGGTGTCGACGTCGGATTCCTCGTTGTCTTCGTCGTCCCAGTGCTTCTTCCCCGCGGCGCGCGCGGCGAGGTCTTTCTTGATTTGCTCCTCGACGAGCGCATCGGCGGCTTGTTTCCGGGCTTCCTCCTCAGCTTGTCTGGCGGCTTCTTGGTCTTTTTCCGAGTCCTTTGCGGCGGCGCCTCGTTGGTTTTTCGGTATGAATTTCGGCCGCATCATTAACCTCCTCGGCGCTTCCTCTTCACTACTGCTCTCCTCCTCTTCTGACTCGCTTTCATCCTCTTCTTCTTCCTCCTCGTCATCTTCTTCCTCTTCTTCGGTGACGAAGCCTTCTTCCGCCGCTAGCCTCTCGGCCTTTTCCGCGGCGATTCGACGCGCTTCGGCGGCTTCTGCGTCTTTACGCCGGGAATTGAGGTCGACTTTGTTTAGGTTGCTAATGATTTTGCCGGCGCTGGTGGCCTTTGGGGGAGGTGGGACGGCGACGGGCTCGACGGGCTCGTCGGCGTCGCTGGCGTCTGAGTCTGAGGAGGAGGAGTCGGCGCCGGAGGGCTTGCCGGCTCTGTGGCGAGACGGCTTGACGGGGTTTGCCGTCATGCGTTTTGGAGGCATTGTGATTGTGGAGGGTGAGGAGAGCAGAGTTGATAGGGGAGAGGAAGTTTTGAAGTTCGAGAAGTGGTATGTATCGTTTACAGGTAGAAAATCCGCCTGCGATAAGCCGACGCGGTAAGCTATCGGGCTGGTACTCCATAGAGCTAGCCCACTAAAACGCACGTCACAGCGCTGTTATTGAATCCATGAGCTCACCGGGATCTGTGAAAACATTCCTGTGAAGTTGTTAATCAAGATTTAATATGAAAAATTAGATTGAATTATGGGAGTTGAGTTATGATGGATATTCTTGAAGGTATTTTCTCCAATCATCTGCGTTCAATGGCTACCTCTCTTTACCATCTACTGCCTCAGTGTAAAGTGACATATACGCCTAAATATCCTGCCTTGTACTCAGACTATCCATCACCAATGCCGCACTCTGATCATGAATTGTATTCTTATATCGCCAACTGCCATGCTTTCTAGAAATCACACAGACCTTAACCGAGGTAACCAGTAGCATACAATTCCGCCTTATCTCGAATTTACTGCGCTGTGTGCTCTTATTTACAAGCTGAAAACGTCGGTTATAGGGTAAGAGGCCTAGGAAATGCGGAGTTGGCCCCTCGTCTTCACGTCACAGCTCCACCAGCCACCAAGCAATAGCTCAGGCACAGCTTCTTTTAAGTTTGGAGGTACGCAAGCTCGTATGTTTCCCAGTTTTCTCTCACTTTTTTCACCTCGAGAATACCGAAGCTACCTATTGTACTCATTCACAGAGACAGAGGCAGAAAGTCAATCGTCTATCTGAACGACATTGGAAATTTCAACAGCTGCTACCGCCGCAGTGACATCTCGTGGCTTCTATAGCTCGGAGCCTTGATCCCCTCACAGACAATGGCGCAGCGAACAGTCCTCGTCACTGGTGCCACCGGATTATTGGGTAGAGAAGTCGTTGCCGCCTTTAAGATTCGTAACGGATGGACCGTCAAGGGCTCGGGCTACTCACGAGCGGATGGCGCTGATATCATCAAGCTCGACCTGGAGAGCGGAGCTGATATTGCCAAAACACTGGACGAGATACGGTGCGTTTCTCTTCATCAGCCCTTTATTTGGCGGCTTTTCATTGCCGATATATCAACGTTTATGCTAACGGAGCTCTGAGCGGGTGGTAGACCTCAGGTGGTAGTTCATTGTATGAGTAGAATGTCTAAGCAATAGGACTTGGAACGGGTTGCTGATTTCCTCTTTTCTACAGGTGCGGCGCAGCGCTTCCCAGACAAGGTGGATAAGGACCCAGAAGCGGCCAGAGCTCTCAATATCGCTGCTAGCAAGACGCTTGCCAGTGCTACTGCGGCTCGGGACATTTTGATGATTTACATCTCCACTGATTATGTCTTTCCTGGACGGCCAGGCGACGCCCCTTACGAAGCCGATGCTACCCCAGCCCCTACTAATCTCTACGGCCAAACGAAGCTGGATGGCGAAAAGGCCGTGCTGGAAGAGTACAGAGTGGCTGGAAAGGAGGGCCTTGGGGTCACTCTTCGAGTCCCAGTGCTCTACGGCCACGCGGAAACACCCTCCGAAAGCGCCGTCAACGTGCTCATGGATAGTGTTTGGAAGGCCCAGACAGAGGGCACCAAGATCAAGATGGATCATTGGGCCATTCGCTACCCGACCAACACGGGAGACGTAGGACGAGTCTGCCATGGTAAGTTGCTGTCTCATGGAAGCTCCGTCTCCAGGTTCCCCGTGTCTCACTATCCCACCAATTTCCCCTATCTGGAGCTTCTTGATATCTCATCACACTTTTGACTGCCAATGCCGACTCGGAAAGCTGTGCCCACGCTAATACTGCTCCCTAGATGTGGCGACCAAGTACCTCGACTCGGGGGATCGCAAGTCTCTTCCCCGGACGCTCCAGTTCTCGAGCGAAGACAAAATGACAAAGTACGAGATCTGCCAACACTTTGGAGACATCATGGGCTTGTCCATTGCCAACATTGAACCCAACACGGAGGGCAACGATCCAAACGCCAGCGTGCAACGGCCGTATGATTGCCACCTGAGCACGCGAGAGCTCAAGAATCTCGAGATCGATGTCTCAACGGTCGATTTCGTCAGCTGGTGGCGCCGCGAGGTTCGAGCGTTCCGCAAGTAGTTATTAATAACCCACTCCTCTTTCCAAGCTGATTGACCGAAATACGATTCCGTATTGGCGACTTTGATCTCTCCAGAGCCTTCCTCCTTCCTATCAGGGTGACGTGTGCAGATGATATGAACACGCAGTTGCGAGCACGGGGGTGTGTAATCTGCCGTTCAAGACACCTCGCGCCGATATACTAATAGAGTGCTCGTACCATGGACGGAGATTCAATGCATTAGTTGCTGCGCACGCTCCGTGTTGCCGTCCAGTTGGCCGCTTGTATTTGTGAATACTGGTCCATGTCATTCGCCGCGCTGTACCGCAGCAGTGTCTGTGTCATTATGCGGAGTACGAAGTAGGGAGGCGAATGATATATCAGACCCCGGCCTTTCAGAGTAGCCTAGACTCACCGAACGGTGGTTCGTGGGGGATCCGCTTGGAAGGCGACATGAGAATATTTCAACCGCTTCCATGACCCGCTAAGGGAGTTGTCTCGATTAACCCAAATCCACGAGGAGTAAAATTCCAAAGAGGCACGAAGCAGCGCGAGAAGCGTTTGGGGCAGATGTTCAACTTTGGACCTGACGGGGAATTGCAGCGTCGCACAGTGAGTACAGCAGGCGAAGGGGCAAATTGGAGATGTTTGGTGTGCTAACTAACCTTTGCTCTATGGTGTAGCGCAACATCCTAATCATTCTTGTGTGCACCCAAGCGCCTCCCTTGCATGAATTCTCTTGCTAGAATGAAGCCACAAGGTGCCAGTTGCTTGTGTTCAGGATGCCGAACCTGTGTGTCTGAGCGCAATTATCCAACAAGCTGGTCAAATTGGACCCGCCTCAGGAAAAAGCAAATACGGCATTCACACAAGCCCCCTTTGCATGTGCTTGGATGCAACGGCCAGTGGTAGTATCGCTACTTTCCACGACAAGGTCTGCTGCAAGCGAGCAGATATTTTAAGACATTGATCCAATTGACTGCGCGGCCGACAGTGGACGGGGCGAGGAGGTTGATATTTTGGCGATATGACCTGCATCATGGGCATCTTCACTTGGCAGGGCGACTCCCTGGCGCCCATGCGAAGTCTGTCGCTTGCCACGAGAGATTGCGTGAATTGGACCTTCTCTCCTCGATTCTCTCCTCGATTCTTCCCTTTTCTCCAGCCTATTTCCTCTTCCCATCGCCCTTGCTCCGAACCTGCTCCTAGACAGCTGATCTTTTCAGAGCGGCTCTTTGGGTTGCTCATTCTGTGGGCGACAACACCACCGTTGATTCTTTCTGCAAGTTTGACTTTGAGAGCACCTGATAGGTAAGCTGCGGACCCTGGTTACCGCAAGAATAGCATGATGACAGTTGGAGCTTTTGTCTAATCTTTTTATAGTTTCAAAGCTATTTGTTGCCTCACACTTACTGTCGATTATACGAGCCCTTGCTTAGCTGTGTGTACCTTGTGTCACAAGGTTGACGCGAAGCATAAAGCATCGGAAACAGAACGAAGAGAGCAGAGGAGCCAAAGAAAGGAAAATATACGGAAAAAAAAGAGAAGAATAAGGAGAAATTCCTTCTTCTTCCTTTCGTTTCTTTTTTTTTTTTTTTTTTTTTTCAAGCCTGTGACACTCGATCCCCTGTGCACAGCATACATAATACGGCCTTTAATCTCTGCTGTGTGGCAGTTATATTGGCCGGGGTACGAAGTACTCAACTCAAAACAGCAATCAGGCAATCAGTCGTGTGCTGTCAGCTGTGCTGTGGCGCATTTCGGTGGCTGATCGACCGCTGCAAAACCTAATCTGACAGCGGCCCCAGCGCGGCTATAGCAAGGCTACAGCAAGGCCACAGCAATCATGGCTGCTGCAGACGATGTACCTGCAGGGGAGCCGCCCAAGACGCCTCGCAACCGCACCTTTCGAGGGAAGAGCGTTTCTCGCTTCAACCTGTTCCGCGATTCAGATGCGCAGAGTTCGCCCGGCTCCAAGAGCATCCGCAACCTGCCTGCGTCTATTTCGCTCTCGCAAGCTCCTCCGTTGCCAGACGCGCCGCCAATCCCCAACTTTGTGCTCAGCGCAAACCCCAAAAACGACTCGAGCCCCTCGCAACGCCGATTCTTTGGTGGTGAGCTGAAGCCGCCGCCCTCGCCCTCGGCCAGGTCCTTCATTTCTGAGCCCGGATCGCCCTTTGGCTCGCACTTTGGCACACCATTGAGCAGGACTGCCAGCAGGACCGAGAGGGAGATTGACGAACTCGCCGCACAGCTGGATTTTGAAATCGAGGAGGCGCATCGCAAAAAGGCAGAGGCCCTACAGAGCTGCAAGGAGGACGACGCTGCTCGCTGCGAAGACGACGTCGCGCGACTCGAAGCCGAAAGGGACCTTGTTATTGACGAGCAGAGGAAATTCGACTTGGCTCGACTTCAGGCGAAGCCGCCTTCGACTCCATCCGCAAAGCCGAAGAAGGTCCTTGAGAAGCTGAACCTCTTCTCGAGAAGCAGGAAACCGAGCACCAACTTCATTCAGCCGCCACTGACCCCTCTACCACCGGCTACCCCAAATAGCATCGCACCCTCTGTTTTTACACCCACACCTAGCATCAGCCGAAGAAGCAGCCTCGACGACTCTCCTCCGCTGCACCCCTCGCAAAGGATGAGCTTCATTCGACCACACCCGGATGGCGATGCGCCAATCTCTGCCATTAATGGCGGTGAACGAGTGAGTGCTGTTGGATCTACTTGTGCTACCATTGCCGCATATTTGCTAACCCCTCTTCTCACCCCCTCTTGCAGCGCATCACTGTTCGATGTCTATCGTCAACCATTAACCTGGAAGTGACTGCTGATACTACGCCGGAGGATATCCTCATCGCAACGGCTGCTCAGACACGGCATGACATTGATGTCGAAACCAGTGTCGTCATTGAGTGCTATGACACTCTTGGGCTAGAAAGGCGCATGCGACGCTATGAGCATGTACGAGACACCTTGAATTCTTGGGATCGTGACCAGGACAATTCACTCTTGGTTATGCCTTGTGACACGCCGGGAGATGACGACAACCTCGAACTCTCCTCTGTCCCGCAGACGGATGAGCCTGCGCCTGGCTTCACTATTCAGCTCTATCATTCCCCTCGCCCTGGCAAGTGGAGCAAAAGGTTCATCACCTTGCTAAGCACCGGCCAAATATATGCTTCTAAGCGCGCTGATGCGCAGCCTGCGGACAAAGATAGCACATCGTTGTGCCACCTAACGGACTTTGACATTTATAAGCCGAAGGAGAGTGAGCTGAAGCGGCATCTCAAGCCTCCCAAAAAGATCTGCTATGCCATCAAGAGCCAGCAGAAGACAGTCGTCTTTCCCAATGGAGAGAATTTTGTCCACTTTTTCTGTACGGACGATGCTGCCGTAGCCCGGAGATTCTTCGACCAAGTGCATGCTTGGCGAAGCTGGTACATCGTCAACAAGATAACGCACTCACGCCCGATAGAGAGGTCTCCGCCTCTTGATCTGAGCATTGAAAGCATCAAGATGCCAATCATCCCTGAGAAGTCTCCACGAGTCTCTAGCGGCTTGACCCTTTCTACTGGATCCTTCATAGACGAGAGCGACTTTACCAGGGCCATTGAGGAGTCTACCAGGAAGCTGGCTCTGGAGGCCCAGCTCAATAAAAACAAGCCTAGAGGAAGGAAGGCCTCTAGTGCATCCGTCGCCCACAGCGTGAAAGAAACGTTTTCGCCTACTGGCTTACTAGGAGAGGGGTATGAAAAGCGCAAGGAGGAGGCAGCGGCGGCAAGCGAGACTACAACCGACATCAAAAGCCCTACTGTCAAGAAGCTTGAGGGCCCATTCACCGAAGGCCCGTCATTGCTGAATAGCATCGGATTATCATCCCCCAAATCCCCCAAATCTCCCGAACAGCCCCCGGTGAAGTCTTGGTTCCCATCCGCTGCCGAACACAGCGCGCGCAACCGAACTGCTTCGATTTCTCTTCGACGGCCTGTGACAGCTGACCCCTCAACTCAGTCTGATCATGGAAAGGGGCCGGCGCCGCTTCTAAACTTTGCTTCCAATTTCCCAGAGCCTCCACGGCCCCGAGAAGGCCCTCGGCAGGGCCCCGGATCGAGACGCGGCCAAGGGTTGCGCCCTCCACCAGGCTCGCCCCTCGTCAACTTTGCAACTGGGGGACAACAAGGACCACCAGGATCACCAGGAGGAAGACCCGGCCCACCTCTTGCCGGCGCTCCTCTACCGCAGCCGGGCCCGCGAAACCGCAGCCGCTCTATTGCCAGTTCCAATGGCGGAGGTGGCTCTCGACGCATGCCTGGCGCCGAAGACCTCCCTTCGGCATCTTCACAAAACCGGGCCCCCGGCCCACGATCGAGCCGGATGCCCCCCCCCCCTTCTCCTCACGGCCCCGCGCTGCAGCACCGTGATCATCGCCGTCCGGGTCCTTTGTTGCAGGAACGCCAAGAGCGTCCCAAAGAACGGCCCAGGGAACGTCCTCAAGAGCGACGGCCAGGGCCTCTAGTCAACTCAGCCCGATAGTGAATATGCACTGTACATACATATCGGTGATGCATGATAGCGATATGCGTTTCCTTGTTATGAGACCCTGACCAGAGGCAAAGAGTTTTTGATATTCGGGGGGTTTTTTTTTTTGGTATTCCCTTTGTTCATTCTTCTTGAATAACCCATCTTGGTCATAGCAATGGTTTTCTTGTTCCCTTTGTTCATCAGTCAGCCAAGGCGAGTGGCACCGGGGTGGTTTTCAGGCTATACGTAGCAAACATTATGGGGAAAATGGGAAGCACTTGGGTTGAGCTTGTATTTTCATATTAGAGGAGAGCCGTGTATTTCAGCAATTAGGATGTTTTGGTATTATAAAATATGCGCACGCGCACTCGGGGAGAGAGATATCATGGGAAGGCTATAGTAATACATAACACTAATCCATTCGTCCTTTTTTTGAGTCTATATCTTGTCGTAAATGTATATATATATATTAATCTGAATCTGTGTCGATTCTACCATGTCGCCACAACGCTGTGAAATCGTCTCGTCCTAGCCCTTTTTTCCTTCTCTATATCTCGGAAAGATGAAATTTATTTGCTTCGCTTGTAGATCTTGCTCAGGAACACCTCAAACACCTGCTTCTTGAGGCCTTCGCTCTCGTCAATCTTGTTGATCATGTCCTTGAGCTCGCCGGCACGCTTCTCCTCAAACTCCTCGTAGAGCTCCTTGAGCTTGAGGTCGTCGTAGAGCTGCTTGATGACCTTTTCCTTGGCGTCGTCCTTTTGGCCGTAGTTGTCCTCGAGGATCTTGCGCTGCTCGGGGGTGACAATCTTGAGGGCCTGGTTGACGAGCCAAGAGCACTTGTTGTCCTTGATGTCGGTGCCGATCTTGCCAATGTGCTCGGGCAGGCCAAAGTTGTCGAGGTAGTCGTCCTGGATCTGGAAGTACTCGCCGAGGGGGATGAGGATGTCCTTTGCGGTCTGGAGGTTCTTGGGGGTGGCGATATCGAGGTAGTAGAGGGCGAGGGCGACGGGGAGGTAGAAGGAGTAGAAGGCGGTCTTGTAGATGACGATGAAGGAGTACTTTTCGAGGGAGAAGTTGTCGAGGTTGACGCTGTCCTCAGGGGCGGTGAGGAGGTCGCAGAGCTGGCCGAGCTCGGTCTGGAAGGACGTCTCGTGGAAGAGCTCGACGAGCTCGATGTAGCGGGGGTGGTCGCGGAAGAACTTCTTGAGGATCACGTAGATGCCGGACTCGAGGATGAAGGCGTCGTTGATGGCAATCATGCCGACGCCCTCCTGGCGGTACCAGCAGGGCTGGCCGCGGCGGGTGATGCTGCTGTCCATGATGTCGTCGGAGACGAGGAAGAAGGCCTGGAGGAGCTCCGTCATCCAGCCGAGGGTGGCCGTCTTGAAGTATTCGTCCTCGGTCAGAGGGCGGCCCAGGATGACGGAGGCGGAGTCGGGGACGGACATGCCGCGGTTGCATTTTCCGCCGAGAGGGTTGACCTCGAGGTTCTGTCAAGACAAGATGGCGAGTTAGTTTTTCATGCTCCTATTTCTTTAGGTTGAATTTCGTTCCGTGTGTGCCCCTCCTCCTCTACTCTCCTTTCTTCTTCTGATTATGTAGGGATATGATATAACAGTGCGCAGTGGATTGAATACAAGGACATTGTCACTCACCTTCTTGAGCCACTCAAGCTCCTTCTCGGGCAGCTTGTAGGACTTGGCATGGTCGAGGAGAGCTTCTTCCAGCTTGGGGTAGACAGCTTCAAACTCCTTGAGGGTAGTCTTTTGAGCCATGGCGACGGAGTCAATTGAGCAAACAGGGAGAAAAATACAAGAGAAGAGCGGCGGGTATAATTCAGCTTGAATTCCAAGAAAACAAGAAGAATGAGAGAGAAACTGCCACGAGTTGGGGAGAGACAATGATATACGTGTTGGGTGAGTGTTGGGTCGAGTTCGGTTACTAGAACCAGACTGGACCCCTCTATTCAATTCCGGGAAAATTGCCAGACTTGACCGGGGGGGGGGGCCCTCATTGCCTTTCCTTTTAGGGGGGCGGTGAGCGGCCTCGACAAGGGCGGCTATGTGTATTCGGTACCTGATAAGTGAAGCTAAGCCTAGCTAACTTATCAGATGGCTCGAAGTAGAGTGTACTTAGATGTTTGGCGACGGCTTTGGATGGTGGCATTCGATGCGCTGTAATGGTGTGCCGGTACCTGAAAATTGGGGTGGGAGCACGCCTGTATCTTGAGTGTGGTGGGGTTTGTGACACTTCGATGAGAAAGAATTGAAGGCTTTGGTACTCCGTGCAAAACATCCGCCGCATCTGCTGTAGAGCCCAAGACGCACTGTATTTTTTGGGAGGCAGCAGCGCTAATTTCTGTCCACTATCACTGGGTACTTGGCACCACCTCGCCGACTGATACGAGTACGGACCAAGGCACGTACTCGGATTTGTCTGCAGTTGCTTATCGCGACAACCACCCGAGACAAGTTCAAACCAACGTTGATGTAATCAGCCTGATGCATCTGCATTCACACTTCTGCACCGCTGACGCCCTGCATGAAAGCTGAGTTGGATTCATGACATAGACAAGCAAGGGTTTGGGGAGCTACAGGAAGGGCTGCGGTTGGGCCTCTGCGCCGCGTTTTCATCACCTGCCTGGCTCTGGTTTGTTTTGTTTACTTGGACGTCATCATGGCCTTGAGCTCTCACGAGGTTGCCACGCTGCGGGTTGCGCTGCAGGATGCGGTCGTCAAATGTTCCGAGAGGTGTCTCTACCAATCGGCAAAATGGTGAGTTGCTGAGTCTCCTTGTCTAATTCTGTTGAATTTGCGCGTCATCAATGGCCATACTGATCATCTCATCCATCTAATCAAGGGCAGCCGAGCTACTCAATGCGGTGCATGAGTCGGATGATGGCGAGGATGAGACGAGCGGTGCCGAGCCCAAGCACACCTCGTCAATCTTTTCACCAAATCAAGATGCTGACGAGGCCGCTCTGGAGGCAAAGGAGCTCAGCAAGTACCTCCTCGCCAAGTCCCTGTTTGACTGCAAGGAGTACGATCGTTGCGCCGCCGTCTTCTTACCGGACTCGCTGCTGTCCACTGTTCTCGACTCGCGCCTCGAGAAGCCCGCTGTTGCTGCCAAGGGCAAGGGCAAGTCCAAGGCGACGGATGAGACGAAGCTGAGTGCGGTTCCGCTGCCCAAGCTCAGCCAGAAGAGCTTATTCTTAGCGCTGTATGCCAAGTTTATGTCGGGGGAGAAGCGCAAGAATGAAGAGTCGGAAATGGTCATGGGCCCCCAGGACCTCGGCACTGTCGTCAACAAGCAGCTTCTCATTGTTGGGAGGTTCTTGGCCGCTTGGTTTGAAGAGAGGACGACAGATGATGACGAGGTCCTTGGAAGTCAGGGCTGGCTGGAATACTTGTACGTTGAAAAGGGCTTCCGTGATTTGGCATTTGCTAACTCTAGATGATTTAAACAGATATGGCATGGTGCTTGCCAAAGAAAAGAATGATGAGAAGGCTTTGGAGTTTTTCATACGAAGTGTTCACAAGTACCCCATGAACTGGGGCTGCTGGTTAGAGATGACCTCTCTAATATCAAGAGTCGAAGATGTAAGCATCAAATGCCAGTCTTTCCCCCGTATACCACACAGTAACTGATGCAACATTCGCAGCTAAACCGGATAAGTCGACACTGCCCCCAAAATATTGTTTCTTACATGTTTCATCTCCACACATCGCTAGAGCTATACCAGCAATCGGCAGGGCTTGCCAACTCTCTCGATCAGCTCCTGTCCATCTTCCCTACCTCATCATTTCTCCTCACATGCAACGCACTGCTGGCCTACCATGCAAAGGATTTAATGGCTGCCGAGCAACATTTCAGCCGGCTACTATCACTTCATCCACACAGATTGGACTCCTTGGACCACTATTCAAATATTCTCTACGTTCTAAATCTGCGGCCGAAGCTCGCGTTCTTAGCTCATCTGTGTTCGAGTGTGGACAGGTTTCGACCAGAATCCTGCGTCGTCATAGGAAACTACTACTCGCTCCTATCAATGCACGAGAAAGCGGTGGGATACTTCCGGCGGGCACTTACGCTTGACAGATCGTGTCTCTCAGCTTGGACTTTGATGGGCCATGAATACGTGGAGCTCAAGAATACTCATGCTGCTATAGAATCATATCGCCGGGCTGTGGATGTCAATCGGCGCGACTATCGTGCTTGGTATGGTCTCGGACAAACGTACGAAATGCTGGAAATGCATACTTATTCGCTATGGTACTATAAAAAGGCGGCGGGCCTTCGCCCCTGGGATGGTAAAATGTGGATGGCAGTTGGTTCATGCCTCCAGAAGATGGGCCGAGAGCGTGATGGCATAAAAGCACTCAAACGCGCTCTGCTGGCCGATGCGTACTATGACGTTGGCAGCAGCTTTGGTAGCGGCGGTGATCTGCTAGGTGCCCGTGGCGCCACCGGCCAAATGGACCCGGAGATCTTGCTACAGATTGCTACAATGTATGATCAATTGGGTGAAGAGGAAGAAGCTAAGGCTTACATGGAGTTGTGTATGGCTCAGGAAGATGGCGGCCCAGCTGCGGCTGGAAATCTTGGTGAGTCTGTGAGGATCCATAATGACTCACCGGGAGGCTCTGATGGCTATCCCGACCGAGAAGATAGAAATGCGGAAGGGAATGCAGAGGGCACTGGCGTCACGGCTGCGACCAGCAAGGCTCGGATGTGGTTGGCCAAATTCGCTATGCGCACGGCAGATTATGCGACGGCGAATCGACTGGCAGCGGAGCTGTGTCAGGATGGAGTCGAAGTTGAGGAAGCAAAGGCTTTGGCTCGGGAGGTCAGATCGAGGCTCGAGGCATCTGGGATGTTGGGGCCTGCTGGCTAGCGGCGGGTGCAGGCGCTGCCTCGATTTCGATCATGATTCATGTAATTAATTGAATGAAGCGGAATGACTTGATGGTATGGAGTTGGTTCCCCTTTTGTCATTTACAAAGTTAGATGAATAGCATAAATGAATCAATGAAAAAGGGGCAATTTGATTTCACGTTGCTTTGCCAATACTTCAGATGTAAGGAGCGTATTTTGTTTTTTTATTAAAATCAATACTTGTCTAGGTAAATAACCCGATCCAACAAAGCCTTTTTAAATTCGCCTTCAGTTCTCATGTAACATTAATCGTGTATTCCCTAAATAATCAAGGAGTGTGAAGAAGATTAAATCAAAAGCAAGGTATTAAAAGTTGAGAACTGTCCCGTATAATGGGAAAATGGCACTTTTGTAATGGACCACCAGGGGCCCATGTGGTAGCGAAGTCGGTCGCTTAGAGAGCCAGAGCGGCAATACCAGCGACGACGAGAGCTCCGAGACCAGCCTTGTTGTTGGCGGCAGCACCGGTGGGGATGACCGCGGGAACTGTGCCAGTGGCAGGTGGTGGCGGAGGAGGAGAAGGAGGAACAACAGAGTGAGGAGGGGGAACCACAGTGTGGGGAGGAGGGGGAGGAGGAGGCACAACCGAAGTGTTGGGAGGAGGAACAACGGTGTGGGGAGGAGGAGGTGGTGGCACGGAGGTGACCAGAGGAGGAGGAGGGGGAGGAGGAGGAGGAGGAGGCGGAGGCGCGACCGAGCTGTTGGGAGGAGGAACCACGGTGGTGACCGGAGGCGGCGGTGGGGGAATAACAGTGGTAACCGGAGGAGGAGGAGGCGGCGGAGACTGGGTAATAGTGCAAGGGCAGTCTATTGGGAGTTAGTGGAAGCTGAGGAAGCTGGAGGTTTATCAGGGGATACTCACTGGTAATGGTCAGAGTAGTCGGCTCGGTGACAGTATAAGTGGTGCTGCCAGCAGTGATGGTGGTAGGAGACTGTGATGAGAGAGTTAGCTATTTGTTCAAGCTCATAGAAGTTCTGTGTAGTTTATATGAGATGATACTTACAGGACAGAAGGTAGTGTAAATATCAGTGGTGATGACCGTGGTGGTGTAGGTCTGCTCATGCTCCTTGGTGTAGGTGACGGGCTGCTCCTGGGTGTAGGTGACTTCGTGCTCCTTGGTGTAGGTCTGCTCGTGCTCCTTGGTGTAGGTAACGGGCTGCTCCTTGGTGTAGGTAACGGGCTGCTCCTTGGTATAGGTGAACTCGTGCTCCTTGGTGTACTCCTTGGTGTAGGTGACGGGGTACTCGTGCTCCTTGGTGTAGGTGACGGG